GCATCCACCGTATTCTCCAGATCTGGCCCCCAGCGACTACTTCCTGTTCTCAGATCTCAAAAGAATGCTCGTTGGGAAAAAATTTTCGTCGAATGAAGAGGTGATCGCCGAAACTGAGGCCTATTTTGAAGCAAAGGACAAATCGTACTACAAAAATGGTATCGAAAAGTTGGAGGATCGCTATAATCAGTGTATCACCCTTGAAGGGAATTATGTTGAATAAAAAAAACGAATTTTGCAAAAAAAATGTGTTTTACTATTTTAGGCCGGGGACTTTTCAATTGACCTGTTAATTGACCTCGTATATAAGGTATGACATTAACAGAGATGTGATTTATTTGAAGTACTTACATTTAAAATGCAAATACAGAATAAAAAATGCAGTTAAATACTTTTTTGAGAAAACCATTTTGTATTTTATTTAAAATACTTTTCCAAACGTATTTTCTAAAAATTTGTAAAATGCAAAATACATTTTTGAGTTAAAAGTTTTGCAAATATCACCGATAAATATTTTGTAAAATGATGAATGAAAGTTGCTCACATTGGCTTTTGAAGTTATTGGAAGCTTAAAAAGGGGACAAAGAGACATTCTATGAATGCCTTCTNGTTAAGGAATTAGTTAAAAGTTTTGCAAATATCACCGATAAATATTTTGTAAAATGATGAATGAAAGTTGCTCACATTGGCTTTTGAAGTTATTGGAAGCTTAAAAAGGGGACAAAGAGACATTCTATGAATGCCTTCTAAGTTTTAACTGAAGAGAGCCTGAAAATTCTAAACTCCTTCCTTTTTTCGTCGGGTAGTTTTAATAAATAATTGATCAAGGATTCAAACGTTCATTTGCGGATATATTAAAGAACGTCCGAGTTTTTTAATACGTGAATGAACTTGTGTCTCATATTTTTGGCGTTTTTTTTGCACAAATTTCGTCTTTGATACTGCAGACAGTTGGCCAGGGGTTGTTCTGCCTCCACGGTCCGTTGACTACCCTTCTCTTACAGAGTCCGCCAGTTCCACCCGCTGAACAGGATATCACGCTAGGTGCACACCCTTTAAGTTACATTATTACTGAAAACTCCGGCCACCTCGCCGCTTACAAACTCCCCGCCCCCGAATATTACGCATGTTTATTGCATACGGAGACTTGATTACGATGATTCAGCTTACGGCATAAATGGATTACTTCGGGGCGATTGGGATTGGCGTGAGATAGAAATGAAAATCGAGAGGGATGAATTTATGGTAACAGCGCTGCCGATGGAAAAATGGAGTATGAAGGGTTGTTCGATCACTTTAATATATTTTAGCGAATGGTTAAGTTGGATATTTTCCATTACATTTTGAATCACAAATACATGTCGCAGATAAATAATCATTTGGGTCAAGTAATACCAGTTGCATTCGGAACAATTCGGATATTTTTATGATCTCAAAGCAAATGGTAATGCTTTTTGGTTAAATCTTCGCGGTTTTCTTATTACAATCATTTGTTTGCAAAGCCTATTCTGTCCTAAACAACACCGATAAAATCAACATTTTCCATCACGTACCGAGTTGGAAAATCTAGTGGCGCAAATGCTCTTCCGACACAGATTGGAGCGACATGAAATTAATTGCCGTCTTTTCTTTATCCCGAGGAATAACGAGCTTCACATTTTTCGAACGGAAGGAAATGGAACTCAATATCTTCTTTGGAAAAAGTTCCGTATTTCGTCATTCGGTTCGAGCAACCGGCGTCAGCCAACTCGACGAATATTAAAACGTTTCAAATGTTTCTTTCTTTCTCTTAAAAATGGAGCAGATTCAATTAAGTCTACAATGAATTCAAGGAAACAGAAGCGCACAGGATGGCCAGCCGCCACAGATCATTGAAGACGATTTAAGGAATAAAAAGAAATGGGAATGTCACAATTAAGCTAAATTGCGAGAAGACAATTCGTCAATAATACACTAACGCAACAGTAGCCTAGGTGCTGGTGACAGGTGGGGTTCCCCGATTTTATAACGTATGCATTTTTGGAGGTTGATAATTTAGGGAAGACTTTTGTCTTTTCTGGTTGTAGTGAAAATTAACTTTTAGTTTCGTGGTATCAAATTGTATGCCTTTGTAACGTAAAATATAGGGTTGTTCGGAAAGTCACTTCGTTTTTTCCCGACAGAGGATTTAATTGTATTCTTTTGCACCCAACTTCACATTTAAACGGTATAATTTTTATATGCTTTGAGAGCTCATATAGCAAGGCTTGTGTGTGAAAAATTCCAATTAATTTGGTTGGTGCCCTTTTAAATATGGAGAGCGATAAGCAGCATTTTCGACATATCTTACTGTTTTACTACAGAAAGGGTAAAAATGCTCTTCAAGCCAGAAAGAAATTGACTGATGTGTATGGAGAAGGTGTGTTGACAGTACGCCAGTGCCAGAACTGGCTCGCTAAATTTCGATCCGGCAATTTTGATGTCGAAGATGCACCACATTCGGGAAGGACGGTTGAAGCTGATAAAGACGCAATAAAGGCATTAGTTGATGTGAACCGGCGAATAACAACACGTGAGATCGGATTGAGGTTATCTTTATCAAATTCAACAGTTTATGATCACTTGAAAGGCCTGGGATTATCCTCGAAGTTCGATGTATGGGTTCCCCATGTTCTCACAGAGAGAAATCTGTGTAGCCGCATTGATGTCTGCGATTCGCTTCTCAAACGTCACGAAAATGATCCGTTTTTGAAGCGCATCATCGCTGGGGACGACGAATGGGTTGTATACAACAACGTCAAACGCAAGAGGTCATGGAGCAAAAAAGATGAACCGGCTCAAACCTTTTCCAAAGCCGATATTCACCAAAAAAAGGTGATGCTGTCTGTTTGGTGGGATTTTAAAGGAATCGTTTTTTTTGAGCTTTTACCGGATAACACAACGATTAATTCGGAAGTCTACTGTCATCAGCTGGACAAACTGAATGATGCACTTCAACAGAAAAGGTCAGAACTAATCAACAGGAAAGGTGTAGTGTTTCACCAAGACAACGCGAGACCTCACACAAGTTTGGTCACTCGCCAAAAGCTTTTACAGCTTGAATGGGATACAATGCTACACCCACCATATTCTCCAGACCTGGCACCATCGGATTATTATTTGTTCCGGTCACTCCAAAATTTTTTAGACGGTAAAACCTTCACCTCAAATGAGGAGGTCAAAAACCTCCTCGATCAGTTTTTTGCCAGCAAAGACCAAAAATTTTATGAGCGTGGAATTATTCTACTACCAGAAAGATGGCAAAAGGTGTTGGACCAGAACGGTCAATATATAATTTAATAAAGTATTTGTTTATTATACGAAAACTGTCTTTCATTTCCACAAAAAAAAACGAAATGACTTTCCGAACAACCCTATTGTTAAGGCGATTTAGGGCTAACACTAAAAGACATGCAATCCGCAACAGCCCAAAAGGTTAAAGCGTATTTGTAAAAAAAAATAATATAAAGTTCCATGTTTTCAAATTGCATGCCAATGAAAAACAAGGAAGCTTTAGTTATTAAACCCTTATGAAAAAATTGGCAAGAAACATTCGTTGACATAAGAGAGGGAAATTTTTATTTTAAATTGAGACAGTTTAAGATCACAACTGGTTTTTCCACTCCTGTAGGATTTTTTTTATTTCTAGGATTTCTTTCCGCCAACTTATAAAAAAAAAGAATGTGTCATTATACAACACGCTACTAAAGTGAAACTTCTTCAAAACACACAAACATACCGGGATAGAGGTTAAGGAATTGGTTGATAAATTTTACACTACAAATACATGCCGGAGTTTCCTGTAACGAACGTTGCATTGAAGGGCGCTCACGGCTCAAGCGATCCCCACTACAAACTCGACTACGTGGCCGAGTAGAGAGGAGACATCCGTTGCATGATTTCGTTACGTAACAACTCGAATGAAACGAATTTACCCTATCGCGCGTAAAGAAGTTTCACTTCAAAAATATTAAATGTTCTCATAGTATTATACATTGTAAATATTTAACGCATAATTTTAAAAGTTTTTACAGAAATGGCTATCAATAAACAAACGATAAAAGGTGTTACCCAAAACTGACAAATTTGATCTAAAAAATTGTGGGGTACGTGCTCAAGATTCAACATAAACTTGTGTTTCCTTCTTAAAAGTCACTCCTAAAATTATTTCCAAACCCTCTTTCGTAATAGAAAAATTAGCTCACGAAACTTTTATTCCCATTTCCAAGGGTGAGTTAATGCATTTAGATAAAGTAGGTTGTAAATACAAAGGCACACACGGGAAGATCTGACAGCTAGCAAAATGACATTGTCCATAAAAGCTAATATCATTATGTTGACCCCAAGTTTTAGTCGGCCGGCGTCCAAAATGTGTACGAATTTAGTGGCCGGACGTGCGGGGACCGCGGGAAAATGGCAATCTGTTTCTGCGATATGAACCATTGTCTGATTGTACCGTACCGTTAGGTCTGAGGTATATGTGTATCTGTGTGTGTGGATCAAGAAGGGCTCCCATGAGAAATGAGCAAAGAACATCTCCTGTCGTGACTATTCTTAATGTTGCTAGTTCTATATAGGCATAAAACGATTCTGTTTACTGTCAACCTTTGATTTATAATATTATCTTCTAACAAGGAAAAATATTAGGAGGGATGGAGGTAGTTCAGGGAAATGACAACAAATTTTATGATGATGAGACAATTTTTTAGTTATTTCAACACCTAAAATTCTAAATAAATTCGTAACAAATCTGCGTTTTAATCATAAGATGAAGGACGATGGTAATCACAGTTGCAGATACATCTTCAGTTACGCCAAAGTTATAACCATTTTTTTATTCTGTTCAATAGAACCTTCATAGACAGTGACTACAAAATAAGTCATTACAGTACACAGCTTCTATAAATTAATTGGAGAAATCAACAACAACAAATTGTTATAAGTGTGAAGTTATACATTGATTTTCCTATTTCCTTTTCTAGGGACCGAGTCTTCCGATTAAATATGAATAATGTGAACCATACGGACTGTCAGGTAAGATTTATTGATAAGTTTTTTTTAAGTAATCTATTTAAAAAAATGTACCGTTAAACGTTGTAAGAATTAATTCGCTATAGTTTTAATGGGGAATGAAAGTTGTTAATGAGTGTGCTTTTTGACTATTTCGGTCAATAGTATGAGGTCTTAATAAGTTAAAATAAAGGTAATGTATTACGACAAAAGTAGGTAATAGGGACGTAGTCTAAAGGAAGTGTTACGTCTAGACGTTTCGTCGGCATCTGTGGCTGACGTCTTCAGTGGTACTGGGTTGACAAGGTGAGCGAAGGTTACGACAGACTGAGCACTTGTTGTCAACGTAGTACCCCTGAAAATGCCACTTACAGATGGTATCTGTGACTAGCAGTTTTTGAGAAATTTGCATTGTTTTTTGAAATTTTCCATAATATCACAATATAAATAATTTTCAATAATATCACGTTGTTATGTTGCCCGGTTTAAAATGTTTGGGAAGTTTTTGTTTTTTGATTTTCAGTTTAGGAACTAATTGTTGAGTAAGGGTGTAGAAGTAGATGCAAAATTTTTAACGCCAAATTACCAAATTTTCTTTGAAAATAGTACTAATATTTATAAATAAAACAACTCATTCACATTCATAACCACATTTTCATTGACAGAGTGAAACGCATTTCGAATTCGTTCCATCGTGTCTTCAGAAGTAAATGGTGGTTCCTCATAAACTATTTCAGGAAATTTGCTTTTGTTAGGTTTTATAGTTGTCTGGAAATTGTGTATCGAGATATCGCCTTTCATAAACCATCTAGCAATTTTACTTATAATTACTAAACTATATTCTCAGCCAATTAGGTAATTACTCAACAATCAATTAATAAACCAGCATTTCCTCGAAAAAATAAAACAAACTCGCCAAACTTTTTCAAACAGCTAACGTGATTATGCGATATAATTGTATATTTCAAAAGAAATGCAAATTTCTCAAAAATTACTGGTCACAGATAACAATACCCCTATATCAGTTGAAAGGAAATTTAATTTTTGCATTATATTATGCGAGAAAAAATACATTTAATTTAAAAAAAAAGTTATACCTGTTTGATTTTGTGAAAATTCGCATCGATAAATATTACACTGTTTATAATGTGTGCCTATCTAATACATACAGATAATAAGCAATTTCATTTAGGAACTGGATCTGGTAACCGTAACCCTCTAAGTCCTTTTATTTCTGATATATTTAAAATGGCGCCAAACATTGCATATGTCAAATTTACCAAGAAACGTGAAATAACTCCAGAACGTTGTAACCCAGGTCCAATAAATGCTAATAAACTGACATTGTTTTTTAATCGGAAATTCAAAAATGCAATAAAAAGTAGGGGGTTCTGTTTAAAATAACAAAGTTAAGGTGCATTTCCGGCATAGCCGGAAGTCCGCCATATTTAAAAATATTTTTACGGTATTATGTAGTCAACTCTATACAACTTTTATTTGAAATATTTATCTCTATTTTAAACTATACGTGTATGACTGACCGATTTTGGTTTAGTGACACCCTGTATACAAACATACATTGAAATAGAAAATACTACAAATGGCGCAGTAAACGCCATCTGTAGCACGATGCTACATTTTAGGATTACGTATGCTCCAACAAGGTCCACTTGTGTGGATATCTACTTGCTGAAAACGAATCC